GATATCACTGAAAATAAAGAAAAGGAATGGTTTGATGCAAACGACCAAAACGGCAAGATCCATGCTAGGCAATAGAGATTATTCATCTCGGGTTTTTTTTTGTTTTGCAATTTTTCAAATTTTAGTTCATAGATGAGAATTTTTTAGAAATGTCACTTTTGAAATATCGTTTTTCAAAAATACCACTTTTTCAAAATCTTTAAAAAAATGCCACTTTTTGTAAATCATTTACTAAATATATCATTGATGTTACTAAATATATCATTTATGTTAGGGTTAACTATGTTGTATTAGGGTTTATGGCTTGTTTGGGGTCAAAACGTTTTTTAAGGTTTTAAGATTTTAAGATTTAAAGTTTGAAAATCCGAAAAAGAGTAAAACAGAGAGAAGAGAAAAAAGCTTTCTCAATGAAACGAAGTTATAGATCTGATTTAATGTTTAGTAGGAGGAAGACGAAGAAAGACAATTAAAAGGAAGAAACTTTAAAACACACACAAAAAAAAAATTCAAAATTTATTTAGAAAAATTACTTAAAATAACCCATTTTAATTTTTTATTACTAAACTAAACCCTCCTTAAGTTAAGAAGAAAATATGCTAGTAAAAGTCATATATACCATAATAAGTTGTTTTAAAGTTTTTCAAGTATTTTAAAAATAGAGTAAAAAATGAGTTTATTCCAAATCTAGAGTAATCTGTTAGAAATTAGTGATTATTCATCACCTTTTGACACTAAACATAACTTCTAAATCCACAAGTGTCTTCTAATTAAACTTGACACAAGATAGATACTAAATAAGCTTTGTTTATATCCAAATGTCTTTGGTTTTTCTATGTGTCATTATGCATGTAACTCCTTGTCCTCTATATATATGTGTGTAAAGAGGAAGCAAAGAGAAGTGAGATCAATAAGAAAATAATAACAAAAGATTCCATTTCTCTTATAAGCTTTTCATCTTTGTGATCAAGAACATATATTTATATATATTGTATCAATATCATATAAGCAAAACACATATTTATATACCTTCATCATATATAGATTAGTAGTATAAGTTTGTATAATATTTCACAACACTTTATCAGCACGATCGTCTCTTGGGATTTCGTTTATACGTATCGGGGCACAATCGTCTCTCCGATTTAGTCCGTTTATACGTAATATATGTTGATTTTATTCAAGATC